GAAATATAAAGGATAAAGACATTAGAAGTGGACTACAGGCAACGAATCAAAGAATATTACTGTCCCCTGAAAATGAAGAATACGAACAGAATATTGACTTAGAACTTGCAAAGAAAGTGAGTGATCAGTCCAATCGGGAGCCAGACTTCAAAGGAGTAATCAGGCACGAGAGGTTTAGTAAAGCAAAAGATCAAAGCAAAAAATGCAAACATAGATAAACTCGCACCTAAGATCCTAGTAGAGGAAAATAGGAAAATGGGAAAAATCTGGATATTGGAAGAAGCCGGAAAAGGAGTTAAAAGATTCAGAAGCACTGATAGATACTGAGGGTATCATAGTTTAATAACAAAAATGAAAGGAGAATGGAAATTAGTGGTTAAAGTACTTAAAGTAGCATAATTTTTTACACTGCATATAGTAAAGACAGTTGAAGCCCTGTTTTCTTGATTCAAGCAAAGGGCTAAAGACAGCAGACGGAGCTTGTGACTGCCAACCAGATGAAAGCTAGGTCAAACGCATAAATTTCCGGGACAGAATCGGAATTGGGTACAAACCACTAAGGTGTCAGGCTCTTGATTCTAAAATAGTACCATCCTTCTCCCCCCCCCCCTCTCTCTCTCTCTCTCTCTATCTCTCTCGTTTGCTGTGTGGTCTCTCTCTCTCTCTCGTTTGCTGTGTGGTCTCTCTCTCTCTCTCTCTCTCTCTCTTCCCTCTCTCTCCCTCTCTCTCTCTCTTTGTCTCTCCCTCTCTCTCTCTTTGTCTCTCCCCTCTCTCTCTCTTTCCTCCCCCCCTCTCTCTCTCTCCTCCCCCCTCTCTCTCTCTCTCTCTCCTCCCCCCCTCTCTCTCTCTATCTCTCTCTCTCTCTTTGTTTGTCTGTCTGTTTGGTTTCCGATTTCGCTACCAGTAGAGTGAAAAGCCCAGTCCTAGCGGGCCCGTTGAAACAACTGCGAGCGGAGTACTTTCTGGGTTTCAGGAGTCCTGGCGAGAGTACCGAAGTTGCTCTTTGATCCTGGAATGCCATTTCCAATCTACTGTACGGGGAAATCGAATGCATCGCTTCTTCAACTGTGCCTCTGTGTCAATCAGCCAATTAGAGTGATTCCGCTCTCAAAAATGCTATCTGTTCGCGGGGAACTGCAGTGTTTGACAGTGAGAGGGTGGAACGACTAGCCAATCATCATTATTCCTGTACGTGAGCTTTCTGCCGAGTTAAGCGTCGGGCTTTAAGATTAAACGGGTGAGCAGGTTCCAATATCTCAGTGTCTAAACAGTTGAAACCGAAATTGATCGCATATCTTTTCGCTAGCATGCACGCAACAACTTTTGCGATTCGGTTGGATCTACTTTTAGGTCAATTATTCTTCTTCGTGCAAGTGCCAAAGCTAGTGAAAGAAATTAAATAAGAAACGAAATTATGTTAGGAACACGCCTGCTAGTGCAAATGCGAGATGTCATCTTTAAGAAATCTTACGCACTTTTCTTTAAGAAAAAAGGCTTAATCAAGTCATCATTTTAATTCACTTTGTTCTAGTTCCTTCAAGGCCAACGTTTCTCTATTGAGAAAAACTTCTACGATAGAAAAAAATAACATTTAAACATAACAAATCTCGCGAAAACTCATTCCACAAAACATAAAAGATCCTACTGTAGTTCAACGAAAAAAAATAATGATCTGAAGCACGAGATATTTTCCTATGGCCTGGGGCGTCACGCAGGATATTTTTAGCGCATTCGCCTTCAAGCCCTGCTCTGGAGTAATTAGGAGGTCGACCTGATTTTTTTCATGTTTGTGTGTGGGCGGCGCCAGGGATGGAGGCAAAGAGAGCGAGGGAAATAAGACATTCGTGTTCCATCCACCAAAACGCTAGACTTTGTGGAGACTTCTGAAGGCGTATTGAATGGAGTCTTTCAGAAAGATGTATTAATTTTCTCTTTAGATACGAGCGTGTGATCGTTTGCACCGTAAACTTAGAATAGTTCTTGATGAAAAGAAACGCATCAGACCACAGGAATAACATTAGTTGTATCGCATATTGATCAGTTGGTTTATTCAATAAATAAAGAATATGTATTTATATATATATATATATATATATATATATATATATATATATATATATATATATATATATATATACATATATATAGACACATATATATATGGTGTGTGTGTGTGTGTGTGTGTGTGTGTGTGTGTGTGTGTGTGTGTGTGTGTGTGTGTGTGTGTGTGTGTGTGTGTGTGTGTGTGTGTGTGTATGTGTGTGTGTGTGTGTGTGCATGTGTGTGCGTGTATGTGCCGAATTCCCCGCCTCTGCGTCGCGAGCACACGTCTGATCCTGGTGACGAGGCAGCGTCGGGCGCGGACGGGAGGGCGCGGGCGCGGGGGAGTAATGAGGGCGGCATGGACGGCTCCTCCCTTCCTGTACTCAGCACCTTTGCGATCCACAGTAAAGTCTACGAATGCAAAACTCTGGCTCGTGCGTTTGTGGAGGGAGGAGGGCGTGGCGGGCGGAGGGCGGGGAGGGGGAGGGAAAAGCAGACCGAGTGTTACGAGAGTTTAGAAGGAAAATGGAGGGAAGCGAGAATATAACGCAATAATAGAAGTAGCATTAGGATATATATATATATATATATATATATATATATATATATATATATATATATATATATATATATATATATATATATATATATATATATATATATATATATATATATATATATATATATATATATATATATATATATATATATATATATATATATATGTATATATTTATATATTTATATATATATATATATATATATATATATATATATATATATATATATATATATATATATATATATATATATATATATACATATATATATATATATATATATATATATATATATATATATATATATATATATATATATATATATATATATGTATATATATGTATATATTTATATATATATATATATATATATATATATATATATATATATATATATATATATATATAATATATATATATATATATATATATATATATTAGATATACATTTGATTTTACGGTATATTTATAATCAAAGAATTATATATACGGAAACCTTGCCTCCACTCATTCGTTGCGTGGGCCTGTGTGATAAGCTATAGCCTTAACCCGAAGAGAAAAGTTACGAAATCTGTATTGATTCTCGTTCTCAACTCTTCGCAATGTAAGAGAGAGAGGGAGAGAGAGAGAGAGAGAGAGAGAGAGAGAGAGAGAGAGAGAGAGAGAGAGAGAGAGAGAGAGAGAGAGAGAGAGAGAGAGAGAGAGAGAGAGAGAGATAAAGCAAGAGAAGAGAAGGATTATTGAGGAGACGTAGAAGTTTCTAGGACTTGACGAGAAGATAAAAGAGCCGAGAATGAAATGATTGCCAAAAGGACTGGCGCGGATCCCCGAGAATTGTCAAGAAGTTCAAGGGAGATTGGGTCTGTGTTAGAGAGGAAGAATTGCAAGCGACGCTGAATGTATGTAATGGCCTGCGAACCCAAGCATAAGAAGGCGTTTTACGAGAGGATTTTACACGCTATTCTCAGTGTGAGTCAGCAGAGATCAAGGCGTCCGTTTTACCACAAAATAGGTACTTAGCATTGGTAAAAATGAGTGGTTAAAGTTGGCATAAAACACAGATCGATAGCATACGACTCCCTTTGGGATTATAAACAAATACAGGCAGGCTCTTACATAGGCAGGTGTGATTTTCATGTCAATTATCAAAATGTGGGCCTTGATTTTTCACAATAGGAACATGCCTAATTTGGTGTAACGAGTACGTGCACCATTCACACCATCAGAACACCATTTTTATCATTAATCCCAAAGTGTATCTGCAAATTTCTGTCACGGAAACGCACCATCGCCGCAACGCATCATCCACGCGGACGGGATTCCTACATCAGCGGAGTTGTGCGTTCCCATTACGCCTCACGCTGTGCCTCGCTGATTACGCGGCGCGGGTCGGTCGTGCCCATTTTCCACTCTGAGTGGCTGTCATTCCTCAACCGGCGTGGAATTGTTTTCTTTGCTACAATCCGTGTTGTTGTTGTAATCAAATGAACTCGTGTGATCGGGGATAAAATTCATTGGTTCTTCTCGGCTGAGCTTAAGAGAAAGAGCTTAGAGCGGCTCCTGTGTAACTACTGGCAACGGCCTCATACATTCTCCGGTTACCTGCCGCGCGCCTCATTACCGATGCTTCCTTCGTCCTGGAGGCTGTCAGGACTGGCCATCAGCCTCGGCCAGCGTACTTGCCATTCTAGTTTGTGGCCTCACAACTGCTACACTTTTCGAGAGTTAGTTAGGCTGTCAAGAGCTTCTTGGTGGATTGCTGCTTTGCTTCTTTTCCAAAAATATAGACATTGCTGGAGAAATATTGATGGAGATATTGCTGGTGAAAGTGTAAGACCAACTCAGAACACAAATCATGGAAATTGTTCATCACTGTGTCCTTTCCTGGGTTCGTAATCCTCCAAAAATATTGGAGTCTGTTCTTCGTTCATGTGCAATACAATGATTTCGCGAACTTTAATTAAACTGAACAAACGCGAAATGTGATACAAACAGAAACAGGAGTGCATATGTCGCCGGCATCGCCTAACCTACCGAGAAAAGAGCCGACTCGCTCCCTCTTATCAGCATGATCCTCACAAACATCTAAGTCCATATTCGGTTTATCATGCAACATGTCTATCCAAACCCACAGACTATGCGATAAATCATGGTAAGAATGATCATGTTTGATATCTCCGGTGCTACACAAGTTTCCTGGCAAACTATTTTCCTCGGGAAAAGTTACAAGTAAAAGAGGAGGAAGAAATTTGATTTATTGAGAGAAACGGATAAAGTTACAGAACTGCCAGGACTGATGTCAGGAGGCACAACAGTATTGCTTCTGTTAATGGCGAGATAAGATGCATTAATGTACTATATTATAGTAGCCTTCCACTAGTATTACGGGAAAAAAATTATCAAAATTGTCTTTGAAACAACTTCAAAAGTTTTAGGTCTGTTTCAGTTTTTATTACTATTAGCTTTTCTTAAGTCAAGTATTTTAAGGAAATTTGCATTCAAGTGAAGTGCAGAAAATGTAGCTGGAAGCGTGTAAGCTAATTTCTGATTCTCTTGAAAGTGTGAACAAGGTTAAGTGAGAAGGTATAAAGAAACAATGGTGTGTGTGTTAGAGAGAAAGAGAGAGGGGGAGAGAGGGTGGAAAGAGAGAGAGAGAGAGAGAGAGAGAGAGTGAGAGAGAGAGAGAGAGAGAGAGAGAGAGAGAGAGAGAGAGAGAGAGAGAGAGAGAGAGAGAGAGAGAGAGAGAGAGAGAGAGAGAGAGGAGGAAGTGAGAGAAAGGGAAGAGAGAGAGAGAGATTGAGACAGTGACAGATATAGAGACAGAGAGAGACGCAGTGTGTGTGTTTTAAAGAGAAAGTTAGAGAAAGAAAGAAAGAGAGAGAGAGAGTAAATAAATGCGTGGCCTCGCCTACAGCCAGATCTCAACTCCTGAGCGCCGTTGCCTGTGCATCACCAGAAAAGTGTGAATCTTTTTCTAAAGGCAAAACCGTATTTTTGAACAAACAGAGATTACTTTCAACCATAGATTTAGATTTCCATTAGTTTCGTTTGTTTTTCTCCTGCTACGGGGCTTGCAGGTTCGAAACTTGAATAAACACGGGAATAATGGTATACATACCTCACACAAGAAGCCCGACATACAGTAAAATGACGAAGATCAATACTTTTTTTGTGTGTATTTAAGACAAGAGCTTACAGAGAGACACACACTGCTCTTGACTTTATTACTTAGATAGCGCCACAGACATCAGTGTTTTAAGAAAGCAGAAAAATCTGAGCCTTTTCTCCTGTGTTCGGCTGTCGTGCCGTGTCCTTTCTGAGCGTCACTTTTGCGACAGAGGGAGAACCAAGGGGGCGGTGAAAAGGTTACTTGCACTTGTGGTGGTCCTTTTTATTATCATTAGCTTTGCTAATACTTTTTTCATTTGTTATCATATCGTCGTTTTTCGTCAGACTCGATTATTCAGTAATAAGGAGCTACGTTGTCCCGGCAGTGGTAAGCAGGGTATATTTCTCAAATTATGAGTCTCTAGTTGATACGTTGATCTCATTTACTGTGTTTTCTTAAAACTGGAAGCCCTTCCCCATAGCAATCATATCAGTCATTATGCTACATATTTCAAGTCCGAGAGAGTTCAACAGTGTCAGAGTTAAGTTAAGTTAAGTAAGTTTATTTACCACCCTGGCTATCTGCTCAAGCGTGGGCAATCATGATTACAGCTTTACATAAATCTGACACAGTACAGTAGTCTGTGACTACTGTCATTGTACATGGTAATATAGAAATATGTCATACATCCTTTTTGTTTACGGCAGTTTTACAAAGTAAACTTAGGATATAATACGAGTATATCTTCCAATGTAACAGATGAAATGAAATATTCACACAGTTCTTTTTACCTCATGTCAGGTGTGGTCCGAAAGGCTGTATCACATGACATTCCGAGATATTATGTTCAAGCGTTCGCTTGTCTTCTTCGTTACACAGTCTACCAGTCTTACCACGTCACATTGTCTGGTTCGACTTCGGTGCCACCCATAGGAGGGCTTGCTATCTCTATACTGATCGCAGTGCCTTATGGTACAGCTTTCAGGCCTTTGAGTGTTCGTCAGATCTACTAGTTCTTCCTTATAAGAACTTTTCAATGTATGTGCAACCCTAGCAAGAGGCATCCCAAGATTTATGTTCACAGTATCTTTGCTGCAGGCTTCCTTCGCCAATTTGTCTACATGGTCGTGCTTGCTTATGCCAACATGAGATGGTATCCATACAAATTGATTGTTGAAATTGCGCTCTATTGCACAAGTTACGTTACGCTTAATGCAACTTACAATTTCCTCATCGCCACCGGCTTTGAAAGAATTTAGTGTCCGAAGAGCACTCTGAGAGTCACAGAAAACTACTCCAGAGCCCCAAGACATTAAGAATTCCGTTGCAAGGAGTATACCTGCCAGCTCCGTTTGTGTAGTGCTGGCCCAATTGTGCACTCTCATATTAACCTGATGTTGTAGTAAGCCAGTAAGCACAACCAGCTTTGTATCCAGACTGTACGGATCCGTCAACTTACTCGTATACATCATCGCCCATAGACTCTGTGTTCCTTTACCGTTGCTAATGCAATTTGTTTTAACACGCAGTTATGTACACTGCTTTTTTGTGGTAGACACGTAAGGTGCACGATCAATTTTGAATTTTTCCATGGTGGAATGGATCGACCCTGTGGTATTTTACTAACTGGGACATTGAGCTTTGTAATGTTCATGGAGATTTTGTGTATTAGAGGGCGCGTGTGTGTGTGATTAGTCACGTCTGCTTGCGTGATTTCATGCTGCATTTGTTTTTGGAAGTCTGAAAGATACAAGGGTTCCCTCATAGCTTTGACCCTAAATATAGTGGAAATGAATATTATTCTATCAGAGATGGATGGTAGGTTAAGTTCTGATCTCATGTTCACTATCCTTGCTGTTCTCGGGGCGCCGAGGATATTATGCTACATATTTCAAGTCCTAGAGAGTTCAACAGTGTCAGAGAATGTTAAACGTGGCTAGTTCGATCCGCAGATTTACGCAAGGATACTTGGTGTGTATTGAGTATGCAATTCGATAAGCTATTAGTAGTAAATATAATGGTTGGTTGATTATTATGTTTGATACTTTCAGAAAAAATCGATCCACTACAACTGGTTAATACCTAGTTTCGTTTTTGGGAAATACACCGACAGACAGCCAGACAGACATAAATGGACAGACAGCCAGACAGACATAAATCTCGAGTTTATAATACATATACATCCATAATGTGTGTGTGTGTGTGTGTGTGCGTGTTTGTGTGTGTGTGTCTGTGTGTGTGGGTGTGTGTGTGTGTGTGTGTGTGTGTGTGTGTGTGTGTGTGTGTGTGTGTGTGTGTGTGTGTGTGTATGTGTATGCATGTGTGTGTGTGTGTGTGTGTGTGTGTGTGTGTGTGTGTGTGTGTGTGTTTGTGTGTGTGTGTGTGTGTGTGTGTGTGTGTGTGTGTGTGTGTGTGTGTGTGTGTGTGTGTGTGTGTGTGTTTGTGTGTGTGTTTGTGTGTGTGTGTGTGTGTGTGTGTGTGTGTGTGTGTGTGTGTGTGTGTGTGTGTGTGTGTGTGTGTGTGTGTGTGTGTGTGTGTGTGTGTGTGTGTCTGTGTGCGTTTCAAAACGGGGTAATATAATGAACGGGGTAATGATAACGAAAGATTTCAATAAATTCTAGTAACCTTTGCGTCATACTGACTTGGGCGTTTTGCTGGTGACGTTGCGGTAGAGCTTCTTGGTGTTGGTCTCGTAGATCTGCAGCAGGTAGGTCTGCGGCATGGACGGGTGGTCGCCCGGCTCGCAGTTCACGGTGACCACCTCGCGCCCCGCGCCCGTCAGGCTGCAGTTCACCGGGGCCGACGGCAGGGCTGGCGGGGAGAAGCGCCGGGTCAAAGCCTTTCACCTGAGTAATCACACTGTTTGCAGATAATCTAGGCTAGATCACACGCACGTAAACCAAAATGCATACAAACACGCGTATATTGCATGATGAGCAGACACACATGTATTTGTTTACATTTCTACATATATGTGTCGGTATACATTACTCTACATAAAAACACTGAAAACAGCAGGCATCTACACAAGGGAGTACCCGCTCACCTGGCTTCCTGACGGCGACGATGCAGGGCGTGTCCTGGCGGCCCACGGAGTTCTCGGCCCAGCACTGCAGGGCACCCATCCTGTTGTTGGATCCCAGCTCCGTGATGTTGTCCCGCGGCACCGTGAACTCCACCATGGACGCCGAGCCCTCGGAGGTGATGTGCGAGGGGATGACGCGGCGCGTGTACGAGTTGGTGACCCACACCCACGAGAACGAGATCGAGTCCTCCGGCGAGGCGTTGACGCGGCAGCGGGCGGTCACCGTGTTGCCCGGCTCCGCCCACACGTCCTTGGCCTCGGCGCACACGGGGGCATCTGCGGGCGGGACACAGGGACGGGCGGACATGGAGGATAACCCTTAGGATATTCATAAACTGTACATGTAAACATCACAACAACTGAACATACTTACAGCGCACGGTTATATTCACAGGCAGGCTCACACCATTTCCCTCAGAATTTGTCGCCTTGCAGTAGTAATGTCCAGCTTGAGTTTTTCTGACTTTACTGAGCACCAAATTATTCCCATTGATCCTCACTCCCGCGGCCTTGTCCTGGCGAACTTCTGTGTCCTGCAATTGCAGCAAAAAACAAATAAAAGCCCGTGATTTGTGTGCACTTATTCTTATATTTTCCTGCATTCCGCCAACAATAGTAAATAGATTTTCACCACACTGATGAATAATTGATGGATTGGTAATGATTTCTTGGTCATAATGTGCAGAACAAATTCTGGCGGTCATATTGTATATCACTTTATATTGTTACTACCATCGTTATTATAACAACAAAAAAGATTATATTATCAATAATCACGATCATATCAATAACATACTTTTTAATACTGCCAAAGTTGCTGTAAAAATAATAAAACTTATAATAATAACAACAACAGCGATAAAAAACTATATCAATTATGAGGACGAGGCTGAAGTATTAATGATAAAAAATATAGTAATAATAATAATAAAATGGTGAAAATAGTAATGATAATAATAAGAATTGTGAAAATAATGATATGATTATACTAAGAAATTATAATGAAATGATAATAACAATAATAAGGATAACAACAATAACGACAAAGAAGTAGAATTTATAATAAAGTAAAACTGATAATAAGAATAGAAAAAGGAAAAAGAAAATATAATGATAGAAACAATGAAAAAAATAATGACAGTAGCGGTAATTGCAATGCTGGTAATTCTCCAACCCACGGAATCCTTACCTCGTGCATGAAAG